TTAAGCTTTACCCTCGTGTGGCTAATTTCTAGTTTTATGGCATTGTGATCTGAGAAGATATTCTGTGTTTTCTCAGTGTTTTTTAACTTGTTGAGGCTTGATTTGTGTTTTAACATATGATTTAATATGAAGAATGTACCATGTGCACTTGAGAAGCAAGTGAATTCATTATAGTTGGGTGCAGTGCTCAGAATACATCCACAAGGTTGAGTTGGATGATTGAGTTCAGATGTTCTGAATCTTTCTTAAGGTTCCTTTGAGTTGACTTATCCTTCTGTGATACAGGTGTGGTGTTGTCAATTTCTTTCTTCAATTCTGTTACCAATTGTTTTATGTATTATTCAGGTCTATAAATGTTGGCCAATGTTATGTCTTCTTGATCGACTGTGCCTTTAATCAGTATGCAATGCCCTTCCTTATCTTCTATGGTGGTTTTCATTCTGAAATTTTATCTTATCAGAGATTAGTATTCCCAGTCCAGCTTTTTTGTAGTTGCCATTAGCTTGGTATATTTTTTCCCAGCCTTTGATTTTTAAGCCTGTCTTTCTCTCCATTTTTTAGATGTGTTTCTTGCAGGCAACACATTGATGGGCTTTGGTTTCTTATCTATTCTGCTACTTTTTTTCTGTTGATTAGCACATTTAGTTCATTCATATTAGGTATGATTATTACCATTGCCATTTTGCTGTGTTTCCTTTCCTTTTGTTTCTGGTTACTGTGTTCCATTCACTTTCCTATGGCATCTCCATGTGAAAGATTTCACTTAAAATTTCTTACAGTTTTAGTCTCATTTTCTCAAATTCCTTAAGTTTCTTCTTTTCTGCAAAGGATCTAATTTTTCCTTCATATTTGATGGAGAGCTTTGCTGTATATAGAATCCTTGGCTGGCAATTGTTTTCTTTTCACTTTCTCTATATGCTGTCCCATACTCTGGCTTGAATGGTTCCACTGAGAAATCAGAACTTAATCTAATTCTTTTCTTTTTGTAGGTGACTCTGTTTTTTTCACATTGCTTTTAGTTTTCTATCATCTTTTAATTTGGAGATTTGACTATGATATGTCTTGATGTTTTTCTTTTTGGGTTTAGTCTATTTGCTGTTTGCTGTGCTTCTTGAAAGTGAATTTCTCCATTCTTCAAAGTACCAGGGAAGTTTTCTTCTAGTACTTCTTTCCACAATTTCTTCAGTGACTGCCCTGTCACTCCCATGTTCTGGAATGTCAATCATACATATGTGTTCCTTTTGCTGTAATCCCACATATTCTAATGTTTTCTTTATGTCTCGTCTCTGATTTTTCTTCTAGTGTGTTTCCAGTGAGGCACTTACCTTTCAGCTCACTGACTCTCTGTTCCATCTCTTCAATTCTACTTTTTTTGTTCTACTAGTGTGTTGCATACTTCTGTCATTTTGGTCTTAATATTCTGGATTGCATTTTCATGGTTTTCTGTTATTTTAGTATTGCGTTGTCTGTACCTTCTCTGTCTTGTGCTGATTTTGTAAGTTCTTGTATCTCTTTATCTATACTATCAATTCTTCCATTGTTCGCATTTTCTTCTACAGTTGCTCCTCATAAATGTATTTTTTTTCTGGATCACTATTTCTGGAGTATTTGCTCTTTTCATGACTTCTATTCTTTTTACCATCATTTGCATTTTCTGTATCTGTTCAAATAAGTCCATATCAACATACTTCTTCTGCTTCTCTTCATCTGGAGTATTCATTGCGTCTACTTTTTAGGAGAAGGGTTATTTTGTTTTTCACCATGACTGAGTAGACTGCTGCTTTATGGACATTATGTGAGTATTGTCTTAGTAGATTTTAAGTGGTTGTAACAATATTGTGCCCCAGCATATGACAGAGTTTTGTGAAAAACCTGTATATATTTGCTATCATCTTTTGGAACACCATTCTTAGTAGTATTACTGTTTCCCTCCAGAAACTGCAGCTAGACCTGGCCTCTTCCTCTTCAGTTTAAGAAATCCCACGTGATATAGCTGCACAGAAATATTTAACCCAAAGTACCTGAATGACTGAACAGAGATATCTGTTGCCCTCCAGAAATTGTGGCTGGAGCTAGCCTCTTCCACTTGAGTTTTAGGAATCTCACATGATGTAGCTAGATAGCAGTGTTTAACCGAAAGTACCTGTGATATTGGTGCTCTTAATGCAGGACCGTGGAGTGACAGTGGCGTGGTCTCCAGGTGGTAAGGGCAACGGGGTCTCTAGGTGATGGGACAGCAGTCTGGTCACACTGGTACACTGGTACGGAAGCCCTTCAACCTGGCAGGCAGTTGTTCTGGTGCTCTTGTAGGTGTGAGTGCCCTGGGCTGGACTTCACCTTTCAGCAGACACAGAGGAAGCAGGAAGATGCATCTGGGCCCAGCCATGCCACACAGGCCTTGGTGTCTTGCAACTGAGCGACAGTAAGGACTTGTGAAGTGTGTGACCTGCGACATTTTTAATTATTCTCTTCTTTTGGGCTTTCAGTTTCCAATGTAGAAAAATGCCTTTTTTAATCTCCCCCTTTATTTAATGTTATCTGGCCTTAATTTGGCTCTTCCATTATTTATGCAACTCTTCCTAGAAGCAATGATTCTTAGAGGTTACCACTGTGTTATTGATCATTTTATAGATCAGATACAGATTATTCCTAACCCATTGGATCATTGTTCACTCTAGGAATAGCTAGAGAAAAGCTACTGTTGGGAATTACCAAGTCCCACAGCTGCCTTTATTTTCACACTTTCTATAGGACTTACTTGTTTTAGAAAATATATTTTTTTTATGTTTCATCTTACTAATTCTTTCTCTCATTCTTTACATACAAGTCTTACAGCTTTGTGCTGTAAGTTATGAGCATTGTCTTAAAATCTGTTGTGGTTTTTTTTTTTTAAAAAAAAAAACAGCAACAAATAAACCTATGGTGTTCCGGGAGGAGATTACCCATCCTTTGTCCATGGAGCAGCTGGTGAATTTGAACTGTGTGCCATTAAAATTTCATAGGTATATGAGTAGTTGGTGATCTGTTTCACAATCAGCACCTGGCATAGTTTTCACAGCTGATATTGAACTTCTTCAGCAGTTCTTTCCACAGATGTAATCAGTCTGGTGCATTTATGTTTCTTATAAAATATACATGAAACAAATAAGTCATTTATTGTGAAAAATTAAAAAAAAACACAACAAAAACTATGGTGTTCTTGTAAATGCATCAAGTCAAAGTGATGCCATAAATACAACAGATTAAAGCTTTGCCTAGTCCTTCACCATCTTCATCATCTGCTCAATACTTCAAACTAATATTACAGTCACTGTGTCAATCTATGTCATTGAAGGTTTCATCTGACCTTGCACATTTCTAAAAAAAGATATCCCTTTCCAAGGACTAATCCCTTCTGATACACGCCCAAAGTGTGTGACAATGAAGTCTCAATATCTTTTCATCTCAGGAACACCCACACTCTCCTTCCAAGA